GGGGGGGGGGGGGGGGAGGGGAAGGCACGCTCCTATGGGATGCTCCACCCACCCCATCATTGCGGCATCAGTGCCTGCTACCTCAAGATACGTAGAAAAAACTTTTAAAGCTGTGTCTATGGCTGAATTGCTGATTCTCCAAATCGGCATTGAATCTTCAGATTCGGATTTGGCCGAATCAAATCAGGGACAGTGATCTAAATCAATTAATTGAATCACTGTCCCCAGTTCAGGCCAATCTGAATTGAATAGGGCCCATTTTGCACACCCATAATATGTAGGATCAATGGTTGTAAGAGGTATGAACTGCCACATCCATTTCAAGGGGGTGCTAATTCTGAAGTCTAGTTATTAAAAGAAAAAAGTCAACCTTCTGTATTGTTTCACTACTATTTTAGTACACTTGAAAAATGGGGCTGGCGCTGCATGCAGAGTCTGAATAGGGTGTAATCCTTCATCTCCTGAGTTTGATTCTTGGTCTCCAAACTGACCAGTCTTTCCATTTGTAACTTTTTTCTAGCTGCTGAACAGACTGTCCAGAACATAAAGCTAGAAGTTATCTTGACACACACACACATACCACTTAATACATAACAGAGTTCATTTAGTCCACCCCTTTGCACCGAGGCAACATCAGTTGTACCTCTGCTCATTTTTTGTTCTTTAGATTCTGATTCATGTTTTCCCCTTGTACAATGCTCTCTTGATTTAGGTTCTGCGTTTTCTTTAAAATATTTATATATTACCTTTTCATTCTCTCTTCAGACTATTCCTTGCCAGTGCAAGATACTATTTGTTCTAGTTTTCTTTACTAGTAACTAGGGTCACTTTTTTCATATTATTTCTTTACCACCATTTCCATTTTGCATGTCCTGCTAATAGGAATTCTGATGAAGAGTGTGTCTGGAGCTCCAACTGCAGGAGATGGGGAAGATGAATGTTTTGATAAGTAACAGTCAAAGATGAATGTCTATAGGTGCAGACAGAAATTACATTTGTCACGTGATCAGCCCCTTGAAAGCACACTACAGCCATGCCCTTACTGAAGTACACAGCTGCAGATTACTCCAATCATGTGACAAATTAACCCTCATAATATGAGGGTTCAGATGAAGGGGCTCCAAAGCAGAGCGCATGCATTAACTTCTGTTTGCTCTGGTGGCTGGGCTGCTGCAGCCCAGCCTTGTCCCCAGTGCTGTTTCAGGATGGGAGGGAGAGAAGGCAGGGGAGGGAGGTCTGTCTTGGGGCTTCCCCAGCCTGTCCTGGAAGTAGTGGGGCAGGTGGATTGGAGCTCCTCCTCAAGGTGGGGGACCCCAATTTATCCATCCCACCCCTCCAGCAAAGGCAGGAGAAACCCCAGAGCAGATCTCCTTCCTGTGCCTTCTCCCCCTCCCATCCTGAGACAGCACCAGACCTGGGGGGATGGGGGCAGAGCTAGGGAAAGAGGCTGCATGCCTGCAGTCTCTCTCACTGCATTGGTTTCAAATTGGAGCTCAATCCCACACTCTCCTGACCCAACAGCTAATGTATTTTGGGTTGGGAGGGCCAGTCTAACTCATGGTACTTTCTGTGAAGTGCCGTAAGCTAGATGGGGGGGCTGCACTTCAGTCTGTGCCTTATTCTGTAAGTTGCTGGACTCTTCATAGACTCTAGGGCTGGAAGGGACCCGGAGGATCATCAAGTCCAGCCCCCTGCCCCAGGTGCAGGAAGTCAGTAGGGATCATAGGATCCCAGCAAGATAAACATCCAAATGTCTCCTGAAGATGTTCAAAGTGGGTGCTTGAACCACCTCTGGTGGCAGTCTATTCCAAACCTTGGGGTCTCGAACAATAAAGAAGTTCTTCCTTCTGCCCAGCCTGAAACAGTCATGGAGGAGTTTGTGACCGTTTGACTTTGTCAACCCTTGGGGTGCTCTGGTGAACAAATGTTCCCCCAGATCCTGGTGAGCACCTCTGATAAATTTATAGGTGGCCACCAGATCACCCCTGAGCCTGCGGTTTTCCAGGCTGAAGAGTCCCATGGCTCTCAACCTCTCATCAAAGGTCTGTTTTCCTGACCTCTGGTCATGCACGTAGCTCTCCTCTACACTCTCTCAAGCTTCTTTTATATACCTGTACACAGGCCAAATCATTTGGGCCATTAAGGCTGTGTTGTGTTCATTCTGTGGTGTAAAATAGCCTTATATATCTGGTTTAATTGAATGTTGAAGAATTTTTTTTTTTTAACTGCGTTGAGTTGGTATGGTGTGCCTCCAAATCTGGTTGCCATTTTAAGGATATGATCAGGTATAATGGGCATAGCTGGGACAGCCCCACGACCTGGTTGATCCCTGTCTCCCCCAAGATCTTCCAAACAGTTGGCAGTTTGCATTGAACAGAGAAGCTTTCAGTCTGCTTATTTATTCTGGGGACCCAGCTTGCACCCAGAAGCTCTAGGATCAGGGAACGCAAAGGTGACCGAAAGTTCTGTTTGTTTTCCCCTACCCCAGATTTGCATTAAACACACCTTATTAACTTCTAGGTGCTCTCATGACTTGAGGAATCCTCACTCTGGAATGAGGCATCTCCTGTGCAATCTATGAAAAGTTAGAGTAGGATCCATGGAAGCCAGAAAGCTGAGAGAGGACCTGCCCACAGTCATAATAGGAAATGCTGAGGAAAGGGATGAAGCTTAGGAAGTTAGGGGTCAAATTCCAGTTATTCTTATAAACATCCCTGTCCATCTCAAGTGTTGCAATAGCTTAAATATAAAGGCACTTTTACCCATGCATGTGTTGCAGCTCTGGGTGCTTTGAATAGCACCTGGCACTGCGACACATACAGTTCTATAAGTGGTGAAATGCATGTCAGCAGCGAGGAAAATGGCGGTGGTGTGCTTTTGAACTAAAACACCCTAGAGGTGGTTTAGTTCAAAAGTGCACCACCACCAGTTTCTGCTCACTGATGTGCATTTCTACTTATACAATTGCATGCAGCGCAGTGCAGTTCACCTCAGCTTGTGTGTGGAGCAGACTCGATTAATTGAGTCCGCTCCAAAGCAGCGGATCTCTGCCATGTTGCTGGAAAAAAATATGTGTATGAATGCCCTAATTGCCTTGCCCAAGGAGGGTGATCCAAAACAAGAATGTGAGATTCTGTGATTCTTTATACAACCAATGGGGGTAGGGAGGACTTAGTTGCCTCTGATGGGCAATCCATAGGGTCCAGATGCTGAGCAGACGAGGATACCCCTGTCTCCAGTGATAAATACTAGGCAGAGGGGCATCTCTCAACCCTTGCTTCTCTGTCATCTCAGGTTCCACAGCTTTGAGAGGGCTGGAGTCTTTTGCACAATGACAGCACCACTGAGTTCAGAACACAACACACACAGCAGATTTCACTCATTGAATATGGCCAAGAGTGATCAACTTTTTCACAATAACTTATAAATCCCACATCTCAGGTGAGTGCATATGGCAAGGCTAGAGAACAGGAAGGGTGGGGCTGGCTGGGCTACAAGACAGCCCAAAATGCAAGCTTCATAGGACAAGAAGGAGAACAAGAGGACCCCTGACTAGTTTGGGTGCTCCCCTGAGAGTGGGTAGTCAAATAATGATTAATATAAAACAAATAGCCCTGGGAAGCAGTGCCAGGAATCCAGGTTTCCATTCTCCCACAGCATGTTCTCATCATAGATTCATATACCCCTGCTGCTGGCCTGTGAATCTTCTACTCAGATTTTACAGAATGGTTGGAGCGTATACCCACACAGTCTATTTTAAGCTAGTCATTAAGGACTCACCTGGAAAGTGGGAGATGTGGGTTTGAATCCTCTCAGGCTGAAGAGAACCTAAAGGGCTCCACTTCCTGGGTAAGTGATCAAAGGCAGGTGCTGGCAACCTTTTGCCAGTGTTGGCTGCTGGTTGTGACCCAGGTCGCACCACAGACCGTACTCTCATACTCCTCCACGGCAGTTGGCAGATGCTGTGAAGAAATGGATAGGACACAGACAGGTGCTAGGACCCTGGGAATGTCTCCCTTGAGGTAGCAGAGAGAATAAATTGAATGCAGCAAGCAAGATGACTCTGGGGACACCTCCTCTGCTGCTGTGGTTGGACAGTGCTGTTGATCCGCTGAGATGCCGTGGAACAGATCTAGTCTATTCATGGGCAGCATCTAGCCCACAGACTGGGTTGCCGCTCCCTGCCCTAGGGCATTCTACAAAAGACCACCGCTATCACCAGGCGTGTATGAGAGGGGCTGCAGGTCTTGTGTTTTGGACCACACTCAATGATTTTTATGTTAGGTGTGTTATATGGGTACCTGACAAATAAGATGGCTAGGCAGACTTTAGGCAGCCCCAGGCTCTGATTTGTGTTGCAGCAGAGTTTTTAGGAAGGAGTTAGGCAGCCAGGAATTCACACTGGACTGCTTGTAAGCATGCTCAAAAGCCTAAGTCTAAGCCCTCAAGCAGTTTTTGTCCATTGGAGCAGGGTTTATATTGGTCTATTTTTGTGACTTAAGGATGTAGGGATGGATCCAAATAATTATTTTATTCTGGGGACACAGCTTGCCCCAGGAGTGCAGCACACTGATCTGGGTTGGAGCAGCCCTGGCTGGCTAGCTTGCCAGCCTAGAGCTGTTCCTTGGGTCAACATGCTGAGGAAGGTTTGGCTGGGGCATGAGGGTGCTTCAGTGTGGGGCTAGTTGGCAGGCAGGCCCTGTACTGAAGCACTTTCATGACTCAGCCAGCCAAGACAGTGTCTACATGTGCGCTGCTGTGGAGTAAAAACTCTGCAGCAGGATAGTACTTGTAAATACTATAAATATGAGTGCTATCCTGCTGTGGAGTTAATCAATCTACTCTGGCCTATTAAGGATGCACATGTAGATGTGCGGCATTTACTGTGCAGTAAACATCTTGTGTAAATTGTTAGATGAACACCTTGCTGGGGTCGTTTGACCCCAGTACTCTTTCCTGCCATGGCAGGGGGTCGGACTAGATGATGTACTCAGGTCCCTTCCAACCCTAGAAACTATGAAACTATGAAATTAACCCACAGGAAAGGATTTTTCCAGGTTCTCACAAATAGTAAGAGATTTCTTCATCAAAAAGGCGCAAGAAGTCTTTATAGACCTTTAAGAGACGGGGGGGAAAAAACACATTGCAGGTGTCACACTTGGTTGACTGAACATGCAGTTAACGGAAGTGTGATTGTTCAGTGTTTTACTGTAATACATACATTGAAATGTGAGAAGGAAGCATTGTGCACTACTGTGAAAATCTACACACATCAGCCCTGAGTCACCACCCAAGATTTATTTTCAGAATCTTTTTCAAGAATCATTACATGATATATTTGTGCTTTATTCATGGAATATTTGGCTAGTTTCCAAATAACATGAGTTGTGTTTAAAGTAACTTCTCAGGTTAAAAAAAAAAATAATTCAGACAGTAACTACCATTAAGTATTTTTATTGTGCAGACTGTAGTGTTTATGGTACATGCAGAATAAAAAAAAAAGTGTCTGTTATATCTGTAAGCACATAATAGCAATGTAAATATCTTGAATCAGCAATGTATTTCTATTAGGGGCTGATAAATTTAAGTGAACAGACATCTTTCAGGATACAAATGTTTTTTTTCCTCAAAGTGATTTTCCTCACATAAAGATAAACTATTTATTGTTTATAATATTGCTTGCCTTTTAATATTGAAAAAAATACTAGTACATTCTCTATGTACATAGAAAAACATAAAACTTTATCCATACCAGTGTCTGTTTTAAATGCAAACAGAAGTCATTAATAGGTTTGCAATGTATGTGCCCAAAAAAAAAAAGCAGCAGATGCATCCTCTAAAACAACTTTAAATGTATTTATGGTAGAAATAGAATTGAAGGCACTCCTGATTCATATAAAGCAACATGATAAAACAGCATCAGCACAAGAAAAATGTCAGCTGTACAAGGCAGTTTTATGTGGATTTTAAAACCCAATCTTGCACCCATAAACATCAAAGGGTGTTTTGTCATTAACACCAACAAGAACAGGTTCAGGCCCTAAATTTCCCAGGTTGGGCTTAGAAGAAAGCTAATTCCAGCTAAATTAACCTCACAGCTATTTTTAAAAGCTTCATGCAAACCTTCTGACTGTATTCTCTGAACACAGTAATGTTATTGAGAGTGCAAAGACACCCGCAGGTCACAGCATAAAAAACATGTTGCAAAAATGCTTTATTTTCTAGGGCTCACACTTTGCAACATTTGAGTTTCACACAATACCCTCCATTAAGACTTCCCAATGGCTGCAGCTAAGCTAAAAGAATAGAACACAATATATAGTTCCTAAACCATCTCTTGTGAGGGATTAGTTTGGACTTAGCGATGCATGAATTCTCCTGAAAATAATCTGTGAGTTAACGGCATGCTGACCTCAGCTGATAGGAAGGTTTTGAAAGCTGGCTTCTCTCAGAGACAGCTCATAGTTGGCATGGCACACCTTGATTTTATTTTTAACTCAGGATTGGCTCAGGCCTTATAAAACTGATTTGATAATGAACACTGCAAAAAGAGGACTTTGTGATAAGCACCTAAATGTGCTTGTCAGGAAAACATTTTCATAGGAATCATTTCTAGCTTTCTTCTTTAGTTTGCTTCTGTAATCACAGCGAAGACCAACAAACAGCTGGCAGAAAACTTTCAAAAAGATAATGACACGGGAATGCACTGACTAGTTTTCTATGGACATTCAGCATTTAGACATGGAAAGCTTTTATGTGTCAAAGTCTCTGACTTGATATGGTATTAGCTTTTTCAGGACATATATTAATTAATTTGTTTATATCTATCTGCTCATACTAGGCCATATCTGACCATTACAGTAAATGGCTGTAGTCAACTGATAATACAATTGAAAAAAAACGTTCTTTTAAAACCTGCCAACTTTCATGTTCTTTCTGCTTCAATAGCTTTATACTCTTTAGCCACAATAAAATGAGTGGCATTATAGTGTTGGAAAGCATTTTAGCAGTTCTTTACTATATCATTGTGAATGTATCTTACAAGGAATGAATGGAGGGATAAAAAACCCCCAACAACAGCACATCAATCTGTTTATTGAATAGTCAGCAAAATGACATGCAACTGGAATGGGAGAGTAGCAATTTAAGATTACTTTGAAAAATGCGACTAAAAAAGATAAAAACAAATCCAGTAGGGATAAATAGTAGTAATGGATGGTGAATAAGCGATTCTCTGCTCTGGGCCAGGTTATTCACCATTTGTTACTGTAGATCAATTAGGGAGCCTTGAAACTGGCACCAAAAAACTCCCTAGAAAACAAAAATCTCTCTCCATACTGACAGCTTGCCTTGAAGTGTCACTTATATTTCTTTCCGTACTGTTGCTTGAATTGAGCTAAATATTTTGCCGATGGCCTCAAATAGTGGGTCGCAGAAGGTGTGGATGCAGATAGAATAGACCCGGCTAATGCACTGGATCTCAATCAGGTAGCTCCTTATACAAGGCACCACTGCCCAGATGTGCAGGAATGACAAAATGGCAAAGTAAATACCCCAAATGAGAGCCATAGGAATGCCAAAGATTGCTGCCAGTAAGCGATAAAACCAGTATTTTGTCACAGTGAAGGTGGTGAAGCTAGCTTTCCAGATCCCGTCAAAACTGTGTGTTCCCTCCGGTTCGGCAATCACATCTTCAAAATCAATCTGCAGGAAAAGAAGAACACAAAAGCTAATTAGACAGACCTTCACAGCTGATCACAATATGTGGATTCCAAATTCTGTGCCCGTTAAAAGTTACCTACTTACTCTGGCTCTAATTTAACAAAGCACTTAAACGTGTTAACACTGTGCATGTAGGTCCCATTGACTACAGTGAAATTTGCACATATGCTTAAGTTATGAATGCACTTAAAGTGATTAACTAAACAAGGAAGGGACTACTCAAGTTAGGGACATACTTAAAGCAATTTGCTGAATTAGGACCTTCAAATATCTTTCAATTGCATGGAAAAGGCTTGCAAGTTTTGTAAACTCAGGATACTACAAATATAACATAAAGTGAGCCTCCTCTAACTGAAGCTAGAGAATCTGTTTCTCTAGCTGAACAGGTAAGCATGGTAATAAACAGGGATCTGGGCTTTCTGTTTGTCATGGAAAAGTGCAGATTTTCTCTGTTTAAGGAGAAAAATGCAGATTTTCCTCTTGTTGAGGAGAAAAACATGGATTTTCTCTTTTAAAGGAGAAAAACTAGGGGTACACCAATGGAGATTCTTGGGGCCAATACTGATAGCTGATTTTTAAGAAGGCATATTGCCCGATACCAATCCAATACAGCATGGAGAGCTGCGCAGCTGGTAATTCTGTTGCGGTGGAAGGGGAGGGGGGAGGGAAAG